TATTATCTCATTTGACACTTTATAGCAATCCTACAAAGTAGTAGCTATTATCCTCATTTTACAGATGATGGAACTGAGGCTGGGAGAAGATCAGTAACTGGCTCAGTGTCCCACAGCTAATAAGTATCTGAGGCAGGACTCAAATTGAGGTCTTTTTTGAATCGAACTCCAGGACTCTAACTATGCGGCTGCTGCATACTAATGTAGTGTTCCCTCCTTTTCAGTTATAATGATGTTTCTAAGGTCCCTTTCAACAGTAAATCTGACCTTATTATCCTAATTGATCATAAAGATTTGAATATTTAATTAACATTAACTTGAATATTTAATAACATTAACAACTAAATATATTGATGACATTAAATTCTTCATGGTTGAATCACCATTTTTCCTACCCTATCCCAACGCAGGCCATGTTGCATTACTGTAGTAGCTTACTATTCATTAGTTATGTGACCTTAGGTAAGATAACCCTTAGGGTCTGTAGTGGAAGATGGACCAGATGACCTCAATGGTCCCTTCTAGATCTTTGATCCTGTGAGCTAGGTGCTTAACCCCTTTCCAGTTTGGTAGAATCTACTTGGACTCCATAGGAATTGTCTTTGAGAAACCAGGCACTTCTATGTCATGATGAAGCATCAGGGGTGGTTTTTATCAATGTCCTCAGAAAAATGAGAGTAAATGTAAGTTTTTGTTTAAGGTTAGACTAGATTTAAAATTTGAAAGTAATTAGTTAAATTAACTAAGAAATTAATTTAAAGTAATAATTAAAATTTTGAAAATAAGTAATTATTCATAGCTAGGTGGTTCAGTGGATAGAGTGCCTGTACTGGAGTCAGTAAGACTCATCTTCCTAAGTTCAAATCTGGCCTCAGACACTTACTAGCTGTGTGACCCTGGGGCAAGTCACTTAACCCCATATGTCTCATGTTTGCTCATTTATAAAATGAAACAGAGACGGAAATAGCAAACCACTTCAATATCTTTGCCAAGAAAACCCCAAATGGGGTCACAAAGACTCGGACAGGACTGAAAACAACTGAACAACAATAATTATTCAGTATTTGACAATGCTATTACAAAACATAGTTTGAATATAACTGCCTGGAGCTTAAAAGATCTCAGTAGTGCTTTACAGACTTAAACTTATTGCTAAGTAGAATATATGATCTCCATAAAAGTAAGTACACAGAATTATCCTTATCTCATAGGTGGAAAAAATGACAGCATGCTACCTGTTCCATGCTATACAGTAAAAACCACGAAAGCTTGGAAATGAAATGTTCCTGATGTTAATTGAGTTTAGGAATTGTCCACTTATCTGAGATAGTTGGTAGAGGTTCTGGTATCATGGTGATATGATGAGGCTGAGAACATTAATTCTATTTGCTCCTCAATCAAGAGAAAACTCAGTTTTACTGCCACAGGTTTCACTGCTAGTCCCTTCACTTTCTCAAATTGTCTTGCAAATCTGTGCAAGAAGACTGGCTTGGATGGCTAGTGATGTCCTTTTTGTATGTTTTGTATAAAGCACATTTTAATTTTTACAAAATTTAGTATAAACTCATTTTCCAGGCACCAAAATGAATGTGCTTTCTTCCCCTTATTTATTACCATATCATTTAAAATTTCAGTATACTTTTTACAGGAATGACCCACATGACAGGAACTTACATGACTTAAGAGCAACTATTCTTGCAATCACTAACTCTTTCTGTAAGTTCCTCAGTTCCTGCATTTTGTATTTGTTTTTGTATTTTTATTATTTATATATTTTATTATTCTTTCTTGAATACCAATGAGAAATTTCAGGAACCAAAGCCTTTATTTTTGTTCTATATGTAAGTGTAGATGGTACAAATGGACAGATGTTGGGTCTAGAGTTGAATGGGAAGAGGAGGGTGAGCCAGATTGTCTTCTGGAAATTGCAAAGATCCTTTAATGACCCTAAGGTTCCAATGAAAGCAAAGGCCCATCTTTTTAATAACATTCTACCCATATTTCTATATGGCAGCAAGACATAGAACACAGCTATCTTTCAAAGAATTAAAAATAGCACATAGAGATCCACAGAGAGGTGTGTGGTAGGTATGAACAGTCTGCAACATATAACCAATAAGGAATACTGAAGACTAGAGGTAAAAGATGCCATCAAGGAATTCCCTTCTTTCCCTACTTAACTACCTACCTCAACTTACCACAAAGCCAAAATAAATAACAACTAATACACTTAGCAGATCTGTGATCTTTTTTTTTTATTAGGCAATGGGGTTAAGTGATTTGCCCAGGGTCACACAGCTAAATAACTGTTATGTGCTGAGACCAGATTTGAACTTAGGTCCTCCTGAATCCAAGGCCAGTGCTGTATCCACTGTGCCACCTCGCTGCCCCTAGATCTGTGATCTTAATTAGGGAGGCACTTTCTTCGTTAGATTGCAATCCACTAATGCCTTCTCATTGTTTTTTTTTCTGTTTCAAAAATGCTTTTTCAAAGATGTTCACAGAGCAGAGGTGTTAAGCATGGCTACAGCCCAAAACAGACCGAAATGTAACTGGTAAATGATTTAACAAAATGAATTAAAATGCAATAAAACGTAATGTTACTATGTGGTTTCTAAGTCAATACGCAACCTGGAGAGATCATTAGCTACAGCTCAGTGGCCTGTTTCTATTTGAGTTTGATGATATGCCTCTATAAAGGACATAACCCAGTGGGGCTCCAGGATTTCCTCTCAGCCTTTTTTTTTTTGGAGGGGGTAGCAGTGTAGTATTTTGAGCTTTGCTCATTTCAATCAACAAGCATTTATTTAGCACCTACTATGTGGTTAGAGGCAATGTGGTATAATGGATAGAGAACTAGCTTTAAACCAGTAAAACTTGGATTCAGGTCTTGCTTCTCTTATACTGGGTGTGTGATCCTGACCAAATTACTCAGTCTCTCAGTACTCTAGAGCTAGGCCAAAGCTTTTATATGGAAGATCTCTCCCTCTCTCTCTCTCTCTCATCTATCTATACACATATCTATGTATACATATACACATCTAGATAGATATGGATATATGCATATCTATCTAGATAGATATGGATATGTATATATCCATATCTAGAGAGATACATACATATCTAGGTAGATATGTATATATATTTGTGTGTGGGTATATGTGTGTGTGTGTGTGTGTGTGTGTGTGTGTGTATATATATATATATATATATATACACACACGTACATATACTCACACAGACCATATCAGACACTGAAACCAATAAATTTAAAAAATATTAGAGCAGCTAGGTGGCCCAGTGGATAGTGCACCGGCCCTGGATCCAGGAGGACCTGAGTTCAAAGCCAGCCTCAGATACATAACACTTAACTAGCTGTGTGACCCTGGGCAAGTCACTTAACCCCATTGCCTAACCAAAAAAAGAAAACTATTAGTTAGCTGTGGCAAATGCAGTAGATTTTCAGTATTTGAATATCGGCGTTTGAATCCTGATCCCACAACCTACTACTTTTGTGTGATCTTGTGCATGCCACTTAATTTTTTTGATTTTGTTTTCTCTCATGTAAGACGAAGTTTATAAAGATGACCTCTAATGTTCCTTTCACCTCTAAATCTCTCTGATCCTATGATCCAACCTCTAGTTCTTAAGAACCCGAAGCCAATTAATGAACAAGTATTTATTCAGAACTTATCATGTGCCAGGGTTTGGCTTGGAGATACAGATACAACAAATGAAACAATCCCTACTGACAAGAAGTTTACAGACTAAGAGGGTAGACATACATACTATCTGATCAGGATCAGGAAAGGCTTTCCTTAGACAATGGAAGCTTGAGACTCCTCTGTAAGAAAAGGATTCTATGAGATAGGCTTGAGAGTCCCTTCCTGGCACAGAATAGCCACAGCAAATTCATAGACTGAATGTCTAGTGTTAGGAACAGAGATGACTAGCATGGCTGCAGTGGTGAGTATGGGAGGGAGGTAATGTCCAAAGAGGTTAGATAGGTTGAGTTAAAAGCTAAACAAAGGTAGTACAGTGGATGGAGCATTGGACTTTGACTCATGCCTCGGACATATCCTAATTGTATGACCTGAGCAAGTCTAATAAACTGTAAGGCGCCGTTTTCTCATATGTAAAATAGCACTTAAACTCACAGGGTTTTGGTGGGGATCACGAGTTAACATACATAAAGCTAGGGCACTGGAATTTGAGTTGGATGAGATCTGCACTTAAAATATCTAATGTTCAGGTCGGGTAAGTGCAGAAATAGGAATGATGAGTTTTTGAATTAGTGGAGATGGCAACAGAGACGGTGGGGTGGGGGTGGGGAGCTGGCTGCTTGCCTCTGCTGGAGATGGGGGATAAAGAGTTCCGTGAATCATTAAAAAACAAAAACAAAAACAAAACAACTCAGCTCAGTCCTAGGATGGGCAAGATCATCTGATCAAACAAACTTCCTGTGGCCGGTCAGCAGACGCCACCACCTTCCTCCAGAGTTAGGGACAGGGATGACCAGGGTGGAAAGCAACATTATCATTTTCTTACACAGAAATTGTGCATGTGATAGGAGGTGGGGGCGTGACAGGGTAATGAGGCAACTATAAATAAATGTTCCTTCTCGAGGACGTTTTTTGCCCCTTTCCTTCCAGGAACACAGCTGCACAACTGCCTCCCATATGTGGCAGCTGTAGCTCCCACGTGGCAAAACCAGACAGCGCTGCAACTTCTGCCTCAGCTGGGAAAGGGCGGGGAGGGAGGGGCGGGACTTGCCTGATGAGACCCCGCCCTCCCCGCTTACTAAGCGGTCCGTGAGCTACCGGGCTGTCTCCTTGCTCAGCCAATGGCGACCAACCAGGGGCGGGGCTTGCAACTCGGTCCTCCACCGCCTGGGGGCGCGAACGGCTTCCCCGGCGACGAGAGCTCATTGGTGGCCGCGGGCGAAGGGGCGGGAAGAGGGTGCACGCCAGGGGTGGGGAGCTGGGCTTCCTCCCGTCCACAAGCCAGGGTGGAAGGGAAGCGCGAGGTACCTGGGGAGAAGGAGGAGGAGGTCGAGGTCGAGGTGTGTGACTCCCGGCGGCCTCGGGCAAGGACTGGACGCGAACCGCAGCCTCGGGCGGGCAGGCGGGCAGGCGGGCAGGCGTACGAGGCAGTGGGCGCCGGTAAGGACCGTTGGCTCGGCGGGGAGACGAGCGCTAGACTCGGACGGTCGCTTCCCCGGACGCGCGCGCGTAAACGCAGGTGTCCAGGGGGCGAAGGGAGGGGCGCCCCCGGGGGCGCGGCATCCCCGCCCTCCTCCCTCGGAGAGTCCCGGGCGGGGCGGGGGCAGCTCGGCTGTTGGGCCGAGGAGAGCATCCCCCTTCTCCCACCTTCAACTCCTCGTCCTCTTCCTCCTTGCTCATCGCACCCCGTGCCAAGCTGGGTCATACGGGGCACCCCAACCTTTTACTCATAGAGCTTTGGGAACCCCAAACAGCATCCCCAAACCAAACCCTTAATCTTGATTTGAGCCAACGGAGCCCGAAGGGTTGAATGAATCGCCCGAAGTCACGGGGAGCCCAAGGTCTCCCTTTCCTCTATTTGGGTGGCATCTTCTGGCTGCCACGGGGTGGTACTTAAGAGAACTCGTTTAACCCTGGGCTTGCGGCCAGCTCCCAGGCTGAAGTTCACTTTGTGTGTCTGCATCTTGTTGCTAAGGAAGGAGGTAGGAAAAAGGGTTATGTGTGTATGTGTGTGGGGTGGGGGGCGTGCTGCTGCTGCGTTTGGCAGGTGTTTGTTGTGTGTGAAGTTGGAATTTTCCTTAAGGCTCACCTGGTAAATTGCTGTGACTAATTTAAAAGGGAAGTCTGTCTCAAAATTGGATTTCACGTTTCAGTTCACATAAGCTACTGACATTACATTCTGTCCCCAGGTTTATCTAAGTGGTTGAAAATCTGACCTTAGATACCAGATCTGGTTGCAGTGTCTGGTTGGCATCTGTGACTTTTTTTTTTTTTACAGTTTGAAGTTGGTTTCTTATAGATGTGCCTCTGTTTTTTTCAATCGCTTTTATCCATTCTCTAAAAATGTGACTTTTTTACAATTTGAAATTATTTTCTCATAGATGTGCCTTTGTTTTTTTTAATGCCTTCACCCACTCTCTTTATAAAAACGAATGCTTTATTTCTTGTAGTTTAGTATCATCTCCTAAATGACAATTCTTGTTGTTTACTGTACAAGTAAAGGAAATAATGTGATATATTTTATACTGCTACTGAACCAGGTGCACTCAGCTTTATACTTTTGGTGTTCTTTAAATGTAATTCACAATTCTATTATCTCTATCTTCTGTATCAGGGAAATATATTAGTGGCTTATTTTAATGCTTCTCACCAATAAACTGCAAAACTAAGCAGTACTCAAATTACTGTCAAGCAATCAATATCACTTCTTTTCTTACACATTTTAGCAATTCGATTTATAAGGTTATAGTATTGGAGGTGGAAGAAATTCAGAAATCTAGACCAGCCCTTCATTTTATTTTTTAATTAAAAGGTTTTTGATTTCTAATTTAACATGAATGAGCATAAACAGTTCAATGAAGAACAGAAAACAACATTGTATTTGAAACTAACCTGTTACATGCTTTAAAGTGTATATTAAATTTAACATAGTAGTAACAAAACTGCCCAACTTCTCTGTCCTCTTTTGAACTTCATTCTACTCTCTTCTATGTATTTTTAAAAAATGTTTCATTGATGCATTTTTTTTTTAACTTCACCCTTATTACTTGCTAGCTCTCTCTCCCCACCCAAATACATCTTTCCTTATGACTAATAAGCACTATATACACACAAAAGAAACAAATGTACTGGCCATCCCTGTAAGTAAATATATCTCTTCCTGAACCTCTAGTCCTTCATCTCAATGGCAAGTGGGCCTTATCAGTCTTCTTAATTTCTTATTGGTCATTACATTGATTAGAGTAAGTCTTTTGAGTGTTCTTTTTTCTTGTGGCTAGTGCCTTTTTTTATACCAAGGAAGACTGAGGCCTAGGTTTGTCATTATTCAGTCACATCATCTGTTTTCTTGGCAAAGATACTGGAGTGGTTTGCCATTTCCTTCTCCAGCTCAGGTAACAGGGTTAAGTGACTTGCCCAGGGTTATACAACTAGTTAATAGCTAGTTAAGTGTCTGAGGCTGGATGTGAACTCTAGAAGATGAGTACTCTTGATTTCAGCCCAGTGCTTTATACACTGGGCCACCTAACTGCCCTGAGGCCCAAGTAAGAATACGGGCGGGCTGTTTGACTCCTAATCAGTACTTCTCAGTAAATCATTTCTTTCATCTTCATACTCCTTGTTAGGGAAAAAGGACATGGAACTTGTGGTTTCATTCTTGAATGAGGTGAATCTAGGTCTGAACCTTTTCATTTTATTATCTAAGGGATTTGCCTAGGGCATTTGGACGTTCACACAGTGGAATGTCAGAGGTAGTGGGCATTGTTTTGAGGCCTGATCTTCCTGGTTCCAAAAAGCAGACTCTATCCACTTTAACACACTGCCTCTCAGATGCCACTGGTACCACACTGTAACTCATCAACTAGGACTTTTTTTCTGGACCAGGGAAGCTTTTTTTTTTTAAAATACCTGACTATGGTTATGAATACCCCCAAGGCTAAGATTAAGTGCTTGTTACTAGTTCTCTTTAAATTGAGTGTGTATGTGAAAGATTAATGTTTTCTTAACTGATTAAAATGCAGCATTGTTCAGAAATTGTTGAAGCTATTTAAAATATATTTCAAGGAGAAAGATTGGATATATTTGTACACTTAAAATTTTGAATGTAACTTGTAACTGAATTGTCATTTAGTTGGTTCAGTTGTGTCCAACTCTTTGTGACCCCTTTTTGGGGTTTTCTCAGCAGAGATACTGGAGTGGTTTTCCATTTCCTTCTCCAACTCATTTTTGCAGATGAGGAAACAAGGCATATGGGGTTAAATGACTTGCCCAGGATCACACAGCTGTTAAATGTCTGAGGCCAAATTTGAACTTTGGTCTTCCTGACTCCAGGCCCTGTACTCTATCCACTGGACCACCTAGCCAAAGCAAATGTTGTTTAGTCATTTCAGTCATGTCCCCCTCTTTGTGACTCCATTCAGGGTTTTCTTGGCAAAGATATTGTGAGTGTCTGAGGTTGGATTTGAACTCATCTTCCCGACTTCAGCCTTGGCACTCTGGCTGCTGTGCCACCTATATCTGTAATTGATTGTATATTTTTAAATTATGGAAGTATTAAAGGGGGAAATGCAAATGAAAAAATTTCAGTTAAGATTGAGGCAGCAATGTGGATAGAATACTGGAAGTGCTTAGGGAAGACCTAAGTTCAAGTCTAATCTCAAATACCTCCTAGCTTTGTGACCCAGGTAAATCACTTTCTCTCTCTGCCTCAGGTAACTCATCAATAAAGTGGGGATAATAAATCATGGGAAGAATGGTATGGTTGTTATAGGGATTAGATGAGAAAATATCTATAAAGCTCTTTGCAAACTTTAAAGGGCTATATAAATGCCATCAACCATTAAATGCAGAAGAGGAGGAATTGGGTTAACTGTAGTAATCTTCTAGTGGTAAAAGGTTGTATGTTCCATAGTCAATAATCATTGTACAATTTCCTGTGGAGTTTTCCTAAATAATGCTAGGTAACGGGGCAGTTAGGTGGCGCAGTGGATAGAGCACTGGCCCTGGATTCAGGAGGACCTGAGTTCAAAGCCGGCCTCAGACACATAACACTTACTAGCTGTGTGACCCTGGGCAAGTCATTTAACCCCACTGCCTAGCCAAAAATAATAATAATAATAATAGGTAAGTCTTTCTAGTGAGTGGTAAACTCTAGCATTCTCCCAAAATATTCATCCCCTCCTTATCTGGGTTATTGGGCTTCAAAACGTTTTGTTATTTTTTTCATCTAGTCACTTTTTTTCCCCTTCCCCAGCTTTTTCACTTAAATTATAATTGTCACTATTAGCTGTTAGAAGAGATGTATTTCTACATTATTATAGTTCTTAAAGTTTCCTGGAGGGAGGTCCAAGAAGCAAGATACCCCCCTCTAGCTCTGTACGGTTCAGAATTCACTATTATAACCAAAATGTTTTGGACTTGGTTTAAAGGACTTGAGCTGAGAATCAGGAGACCTGGTTCTGCCATCATTTATCTGCTTGAGTCATCATGGAGTAAGTGGCTTATTATTTGGGGGTCTTAATTTCCTTATCTCTAACATAAGGGGATTGGATTTGTCTTTCAGAACATTTTTAGGTTTAAAGTTCTTTTATTCTGTGATGTTTCTCCAGATGCTTCTGATAGTATTTTAACTTTAAAAATATTTTCCGGATAGAGATATCCATATACTTACATTATTATACTACTGCTGCAGTTTACTAAAATCCAACCCTTTCCACTTTTCTTCTTAAGCCTATTTAAAGCAAAGATCTTGATAATATTCTTTCTCACTAAGACAGCCATTACTCCCATTATATTTGAGGTCATTTCTGAGCGAAGTGTTTTTAAGTTTCATTTGAGTTAGCTCTATGTGTTGGTGTGAAAAGGTTATATGTAAATGAATATTGAATCAGCTTCTAACTGATTGTGGTTACAAGTTCTGCAAGGGTTTTTAGTGTCAGGATAGGTTAGTCAAAGAATTCATACATACTTTCATTGCTTGAAGCTATATGACAGGACAAAAATAAATTTTGCAAGAAAGGTAAATCTTTGGTCAGAAACAATAATGTTCCAACCTGATTTAGTAGAATAGTTCTAAAAATAAAGTTCAAATTCCCAAAGCACCATCCTTCCTACTCCTCTTTGCAACAAAAAATACTGTAATGTAAAAATACTTTGCAACAAAAATAACTTGCTCCGCTTATGTTTTATAAACAATTTGCCAATGTTAAGATGAATAGAAGATACATACTAAATGCAAGTATGAGTACTGATTGTTGGAAAGCTGCATTCCACAGCATTTTATCAGAGTTGTCTATTTAATCTAGTCATGTATACTAGGTAAAATAATCATTTGAGATGAAGATATTAGTGCTTCATTTGTACATAAAATTGTGCTTTTTGGTGTCTAGTTCATGTAAGCAGAACATCTTGTTCTCCCCTTCTCCACAACCCCTTCCTATTTA